ATACCCAAGCCTGCACGATTTTGCAGGGAGCTGTGATCCTTGTTCATGTTCTCCGCACATTGGGGCTGAGGCCAGCGATTCGGCCTTTTCATGGCTCCTAAAAGGCTAAATAGAGTTGCCTTCCTAGTTGTATCAGTATTTGCGCCAAAAGTACCAGGAACGAGGGGTAAACATGCCAATCGATGAAGAAATAGATGACTTCATATGCATATTAGGATTTTTCGCTTTCTAGTAGGTCAAGAATACTCCAAGTCTGGGCGTCGTGGTGCGCTGAGAAGCGTCATGAAGGCGAATGGAAATGCCCGTATGAACTTGTCTTTGAAGTCACATCTGGACATCAGGACGAACGCCAAAAGTTCACAAAGGTAAATGGCAAAGATAACAAACTCTGTATTTACTGCTATGCACCAGACATCTCCGAACTCTGTATGTGTGTAGAGGCCAAGGTCGCCCCGGCTATCGTTGGTTAAGATACAGTAGGTTGCATCGGGCTTGAAGTGCAAACGCCTCAGACGGATGGCCACCAAGTCAGCGGACAGTTCTTTGTTGAAGAATGGTGGACAATAACCAACAGATGGTGAATTTTCGATATAACATTAGCCATGAGACGTGTCCTTCGAGAGTCCTGATACTGTTTAGACAAAGCGACTTTGGGGTTTGTTTGACTTATTTTCCGCATTCCAGTTATCGTAGCTCTTTGGCTACTTGGAAAATCTTTTCTGCTTCATACTTTGACCGTCTTCTTTGAGCATCTGAGTGCGCAACGTGAAATATTTACCCTCTAACATCTCTTGGAGAGGAACTCTAGTGTTTTCTTCCGTACGCCTCACTTCAATCTCGTCGCTTGACTCATGATGTCGATTTCCAAAGCGTCTCTTCTTGATCTCGACAAAGGCTTTTTACTAAAGTTCGAGAATGCTCGGAAATGGAACTTATCGCACAAAGACTAGGTCTTGCAAGCTATTGATATTGTGTCCCATCTCTGGGTCCATTCTACTAGTGTAGTAGCAGATAGGGAGGCACTGAAAGCCAACTTTCGGTGACCTGAGTGTCTCTGTCTGCACAGTGAAGCATCGTCTAGCAGCTCCATGCTATCAAGCTACATCGTTTGGCCTTTGTAAAACTTTCATCTACAATGGGAAATTCTCTGAGTTATTATTCATCTAGCTCTTCAAGCAGAGGACTTGCGGTCTTTGTTACACAATTCGAGGGGGTTGAAGCACACAGCTGCTCCTCGCCCAGAGTCATTCAACTGCCTCCCTCTCCACCCCCATAAATCAACAAACTATCAAACTATGACATATTGCCGGCAAGCACAGCATTCACTCTTCCGTTTGCTTCTCCACACCACCAGGCCCATCCATACACAACCACAGCAGGAGATAATGGAGCATTGGAGCAATAACTCCCGAAATCCTCCCCAAGGCTCCAAACTCCCTTATCAACCAGTAAAGGCTGCGTAATCATCCCAACTCTCCCAAGAGCTAGCATTACAAACGCATTCAAACCTACATATTACTCCACTGTTGATATAGACAAAACTCTCCGGGCCAATGAGGTTTTCTCCAACTCTTTTCATTCACTCGCTAGTTGATCCCAACGCTTTCTCTCATTGACTATTAATAAGGGTCCTCTCTCTCCTCTATCTTCCCTTCCTCCTCTTCCTTTTCCTCTTCTTCTTCACCATCTTCACTCACCATGGTCACGTCCATCAATTCTTCCAACCACATCACCACATCTTTCATCATCTCTCCTCCTCATTCTTTCTTCCAATCACCACATCAACATTCCAACCATCTTCTCAACGGCGAGAAGAATGGCGATGGCTACAAGTACTGGTGAGCCTTCTTTGACTTTTCCTCTCTCGCTTGTCGCCCGTTGACCTCGATTCCAGATTGATACAATTCTACCTCGCAACATCACGCCCTTCCTCAGCGGCAAACCTGCCTGTAGAGATGGCCTGTGGCGAGCATGCGTGGGCCTAGTTTTCGTGCTGGTACAAGACGAGCAGAAGACTAGGCTCACTCATGCTTTGGCGTCTACGTGGCGCGTCGGGGTTACAGCTTAGCTGATGCTGAGAATGCTGAGTGAGTCGGTCTTTGTGCTGGTACAAGACTGGCAAAAGACTGGCTCACTCATGCTTTGTCGTCTACGTTCGTCGGTGGTTGACTTGCCCATTAAACATGGATGGCCTGGTCTTTGTGCTGGTACAAGATTGGCAAAAGACCAGTGCCATCCATGCTTTGTCGTCTACATGGCCTGTCGGGTGGATGGCTTAGCTGATGCTGAGAATGCAGAGTGAGTCAGTCTTTGTGCTGGTACCAGACGAGCAAAAGACTGGCTCACTCATGCTTTGTCGTCTACATGGCTTGTCTGGGGTTGCGGCGAAGCTGATGCCGAGAATGCAGAGTGGGCTGGTCTTTACGCCGGTACAAGACTGGCAGAAGACCAGCCCAGTACAAGACTGGTGGAAGATCAGCCCATTTATACTTTGTCGTCTATGTTGTTTCTGGTTCTGCTCTCCTATAAAGTCAGATGATGTCTTGTTTGAACGCGCGGTAAGTTCAACATGCTGCTCATTCCTTCCATTGTGCGGTTTTACTGACTGGGTATATGTAGGCGAGAAGGGCCACATTGATGGCGGGCTGGGTTTTCTCACGGGTCTGGGTTTTCTCACGGGGAGGATTCATCTATGGGAACTCGTTGGTGGAATTACATGAGCACTCATCTAGCTGTTGGGAGAAAATCGAAGCGTTCTGGGAGGAGGAGAGGTTGCAGATCTCTAGGAGGCATTGGGTACGAAGGAAAGTGGAAATACAATATGAAATCACATCACACTCCAGTTCAAGCAATGAGAGTATCCGTCATGTTGTCTATGTTTCGACTCGATCTAGAAGTTCCCCGTCGTGTGTCATCTCTGTATACAATGTTTGTTTTTCCAAAGACAGTAGCCATATCCAAAAACTTCGTTTCCGCCCAAAAAAGCATCATTAGATCATTCTAGACTTGCCGAAAGTTTTTACCGTTTGTCATCATTACCATGACTCCTGAACACTCTATAGCGACGAAACTTCCACTCCCCAAATCTCTCCACTCCCTCTAAACATCGCCTCCATGAACCAACTTCCCTCTAACATATACCTGCGCAATATTCCGATCATCCCCCGTCATGACAAACTTTTCCAACATCCTCTCCGCCGAATCATTCTCTTCATCCAAAGGCACATTGACCCCCTCTCGGACATCTCGCATATCAATCACCAACGCGTCAAACTCCATCCCAATAGCAAATCCACCAACCTGTTCATCGAAACCCACGACTTTGGCGCCGCCCTTGGTAGCCATGTAAAACACCTCTTCCCAGCTCAGTGTTTCTCCCCCGCCTCCTTCTTTGCTAACGCTTTCATCCTTCTGAGACTCAAATTTAGGATACAGCGCCTCTCTCGCATACGAAGTAATGAGAGAATGCCTCATGGCATTCAACATGCTCGAGCTATATCCACCACCCGAATCCGTGCCCAAACCGACATTAATCCCCTTCCTGAGAAACTCCTTGACAGGAGCAGCCATGAAGCCTCCTCCGACGGTCATATTGGCGGTAGGGCAATGAGCGACGCCGCATCCCAAGTCTTGCAGCTTGTTGATCTCATATGGCGTCATGATGGTGCAGTGCGCAAGGATGCTTCGCGGCGTGAGAAGTCCAAACGAAGAATACAAGTCAGCCTCGTTGCTAAATTCTGGAAAGAGAGATAACGTGGCGTTGATTTCCTGCGCAGCCTCGTTGAAATGCGTCTGAATTGCCAGAGAAGGATCTTCGTGCGCCATTTCTCCCAAAGATTTAAGCAACTGTGCTGTACATGAAATTGCAAAACGAGGCGTCAGTACAGGCTTGACGAGAGAACCCTCTGGATCAATGGTTCGAATGTGCTGTATACAAGCTTTCGTCGCAGAAATAGACTCCTCGGCAGAAGTCTCGCAGTAAAACGACGGTGAGTTTCGATCCATGTTGCATTTCCCTATCAATGCTCTCTGACCTCCTTTCAAGCAAGTAGATGCCAACACGCGAGTTGCCTCCCCATGAAGCGAGCCATAGTACGAAGCCGTCGTGACGCCCTGCCTGAGCATCCCCCGAACGAGCTTTTCATAGACTTTTTCCGCATGAGACACATCTTGAAACTTGGCTTCGTTGGGAAAAGTTATGCCGTCGAGCCAGTCTAGGATATGCATTCCCTGACCAAGGCCTCGCTGCATCCATTGCGGGGCGTGGTTGTGCGTGTCGACGAAGCCTGGGATGAGGAATTGGCCATGGGAGAGTTTGGTGAGAGGAATATTCTCAATGTTTTGCTCAGCGAGGATATTGGAGATGTTAGAAGGGGGGACGTTGGGCTGAAGAGTGAGGATAGTGCCGGAAGAGGAGATGGTGATGAGGGCGTCGGGGATGACCTGGAGTTGAGTGGGAGAGAGGGAGTGGATGAGTGTTGCGTGGATTGCCTTGGAGGTTTCCGTCATGATGAATCTTGATGATGATATCAGGGTAATCCTGTTAATATTGGGGGCGTTGTTGATGATTGATTTCAGGGAGATGACGTTGAGATCAGTGTACCACAAGAAGCCGGAGCGGGGCCGTGATCCTTTGATCCAAACTTGTCATTCCAAGGCGGGGGCTGACCTTGTTCCTTATCGAACAACATGTCTTACATTAGGCCATTGTTACAGTTGTCTCTCTTATCATCTCACGATCACCAATTCTTTCTCTGAAAGTTCACGCAAATACAGAGCAATTGGTGTGGTGCATCCGTTATACTGATTCGTCTCGCCTAAACAGCACCCATTGCCCATTGAGCTCTCCAGGGCTACGTCCATCCCACACGACTCCCACACGCATCCAACAACCACCCAAATCAATCACCAAAAGAAACCTCATCCCCAACTCCTCAAAAACAACCAATCCCCAGACCAACAAAAAACATCAATTAATGGAAGGAAAATGCCAAAAAGAATGTCCTCCGTGAGGCTCGAACTCACGACCTTCAGATTGCCCAAACTAATGTTTAGATCATATCGAACTTGATATGAGACTGACGCGCTAGCCAACTGCGCCAGGAAGACTCTTTGATGTCCTGCCGATCCACATGATTAGTTCATATGGGCTTCACTCACGGATTTACGAAAATCGCCACCGAAATGAATATCCAGACATGATAACTCGAACAATCTTCTCACAGGCCAAGATCTAATTAAGCAGATACGCAGACACAAAAACATTCCCACAAGTACTGGCATCGTAATTCTCAATTTTTCTCAGCTCTTGTATAAACCATCACGGCACCCTCACAAGAGGGAGGGTATCTCAAAACGAATATATACAAGTTCAGAAAGAAGCGAAAGGTAAAAAAGGTATTTAAAAAGAAGAAAATTTTCAAAGTATTGTAGAATCGTAAAAGTCAATACTGCTACCGTTCTAATAGCCAAAAAAAACAAAAAGTTGCGGGAACACGCAACACCAATGATGCCTTGTATATCAAAAACAAAAAAGTTTGCCATACAAATCCTGGATCCAAAGATACATGAAAAAAACGACGATAATTATTTCACTTTCCTATAAACCTCCAAATGTCTACATACACAATCCCACTGTAAAAAAAAATTCCAAAAGCCTCCATTTTTTAAATTTACAGGGCAATCATGGCACCGCCGGCAAGCATGGCGACACCCATGTACAGGGCGACGGACAGCTCACCAATGCTCAGGAGAGAGGCACTGGGGCGGCCGGCAACAGCGGCGCTCTTGCTGGTAGCAGCGCTCTTGTCGCCAGTAGAGGTGGAACCGGAGCCGACGGGGGAGGTGGCAGTGGCAGCAGCCTTGTTGATGGCGCTGGCAGAGGCGAGAGCGGCAGAGCAAGAAGAAGCAGGCTTGGCGCTGACAACCTGGGCCTGGCCGTTAAAGTCACAGGCGCTGGAGGACTTCTGCTGGGATTGGTAGTAGGCGTCGAGGACGTAGTCAAGCTTGGCACCGTCGTCGCACATGCTGTAGGCACCGTAGACACCAGTGGAAGCATCACCGTTGATACCGGCGCAGACGGCAGGGGACTTGCCGCAGATGAAGCCAAAGATGTCACCGAAGTCGTCAGAGGAGAGGTTGTCGGCACGGACGCAAGACAGGGAGGTCTGCATGCAAGAGCAAAGGCCGGAGTCAGGGGTAGGGGGAAGGTCGTTGATGGCCTGCCAGTCATCGGTCAGAGCAGGGCAGCTGGCGGGCTTGTTGGTGGGCTTGTAGTCGCTGGAGTCAACACCCTTGGGGTCGGCCTTGGTAACCTGAGACTGGAGAGCGCTGAAGTCCTTGAGCTTGGTAACCTGGTTGTTCTTGACGGAGACGAGACCTTGAATCACGTTAGTCATGACACTTTCAGTTATCTCAAAGAAAAAACTCACCGTAGTCGTTGGCCTCCTCGAAGAACATGTAGACGATACCACCGCTGAAGACCTCAGTCATGGTGTCAGAGTACAGAGCAGCAGTCTCCTGGAAGATACGGTTGGCAGCGCCATCGGGCAAGTTGCAGCCGTACTCGGCGAAGAAGACGGGGACGGAGTAGTTGGAGAAGAAGGTGGTCTGCTCGTCGTATCCGGACTTTTGCATGGAGCTCTGGCCACACCAAGAGTAGATGTTGTAGCCCCAGAAGTCAATGGCGGAGTCCTGCTCGCCGCAGTTGAAGTAGTCGGCAATCTCAGCACGGATGTCGACGTCGTCGTTGGCGGCGTAGCCAACACCCTGCCAGCGGTAGTTCTTGGACTTGATGTAGGCCTTGGTGTCGCGGACGGCGGCCTTGACGTAGGCAGAGGCACCAGTGTTGTTCTTGGCGTTGGAGACCTCGTTACCGGCAAAGTAGCCAATCACGTTGGAGTACTGGGACATCTCGTCGACGACGGCCTTGTAGCGGGCGAAGAGGTCGGTGTTCCAGCTGGGGGTGTCACGGTTGATGGACAGGGAAGGCTCTCCCAGGTCGGAGAAGACGTAGATGCCGGCATCGTTGAGGAGCTTCATGCAGGCGGAGTGATCAGCCGTGGCGTCAATGGCGTAGGTTCGGATCACGTTGGTGCCCAGCTGCTGGAGCAGAGGAATGTCACGCTTGCAGTTGGCCTCGCTGGAGAGAGGGTCGATGAAGGTCGAGTTGCCAGAGGTGGTGGTTCCGGCCTGGCCGACATCCTGCTGGTACGCAACACCCTTGATGAAGAACTGGGTGCCGTTGGGGTAGAAGAACTTGGAGCCCTATTTTTTGGAACATCGACAATCGACGATTAGCGGTTGATCTTTGGAGTTGGCGAGTTGAAGATCTGGAGAAGGAAAAGTGGAAAGTGGCTGCTCACCTTGGCGGTAATGGACGGCAGATCAGCAGAGAGGGCGCTGCCAGCCAGGGCGAGCATAGAGACGGAGAGCTTGGACAAGCTCATTTTGACGATTCTTGATGGTTTTGAAAATGCGATATCTGCGTTGTTTCTAACGATTGGAAGTGCTGAAGAGCAACAAGGGAGTGGTTAGAATGGTAAAAGTTGATGTGGTTGGTGAAGCACCGAAATGATTGTTGTTTCTAAAGAGTGTCTGAAAGGCCAACTGTACGAGGCGGCCACCCTCAAAAATGATGAATTAGCTACAAAATCAAAAGAAAGATGCGAAAAAGAGATCTGAACCGTTCAAACGGCGCCATGGAGCAGGCGGCGGGTGTTTTGTTGTCGCGCCAGGAGAGTCGGAGGATCCAGGGCAAGGGGAAATTAGATGCGACAGAACAGGGGTCACCCCTGGCTAGCAGGCCTAGGCAAGGTACCCGAGCGCCTACCTGCCCTGAAGCCATCAGTGGATGATCCATTTGCTGCACATTGGCCACCTGCAATGCGCTACTGAGGACTAATGGGAGGCGCAGTTGAGGAGACTTGGAAGCTTGTTTTGGGCAGATCAGGGCCAATGGCGGCTCCGTTCAGGGGGTCCGCGACCCCAGATCCCCTGTCACAGGACCCCTGGCCTGCATTTGGACGGTGCGAGCGAGCGAATTAGAAGATCGAGTCGCCACTGTAACATGTGCCGTCGTTTCTTAGCGATTAATCACACACGAACTACTATCCATTTGTTAAATAGCGACAATACACGAGCCTTCTCGAAGCTCAATTCCTGCACTGTGTGCCATCAGGTGTAGGAAAGGTGTGGACCCCAGCTCGCTCTGGTGAGAAAATACGGAAAGGGGGCTTTTGAAATGCGACTAAACAGATGCTCTCTCCACAGGCGTATTTCCCCTGACTACTGTACAGCACAACAATGCGAGGCGAGGCGAGGCACGTTACAGGTCCCGTCTGGGCGAAATGAAGCAATAAAGTGACATTTGACTGCTTGCAGAATGATCTTCACGCTCACGGTCCTTGCATATTCTGGGCGACTCTTGTTCAAATTAGCATGGAAATGAAGCTCTCGGGGTTCCTGGTGCTTGGCACCTGTTTCTGCTTGTCGAGGCACTATTTTTCTACATTCTTTGTCACGAATACAATGAGAATTCTCTTTACGAGGTACTTGGCATTTGCTTGGATTTTTGCTTGGTATCAATTACAGCCCTCTCCCTTTTTCCCTCGGGTGACGCGTCAAGGGCCTCCAAGTCTCATCTGAGCCTCTTTTCACATGCGACAGAATCAGGCCGTGCTCGCCTTGTCTTGGCCAGCCTTGTTGGCACATGTTGCTTCATTGTTGCAAAAATATCTGTGCTTGCTTCCATGCTGTAACTGTAACCTCCATACCTTACATACCGTACAGAAAAAAGATTCCACCCTCCTCCTCCAGCCGAGCCTCTCCTCTCTCTCCAACCTGTTACTGTTTCGCATTGAAAAAGCGGCTAGTCCAGGAACCAAACATGCCCCCCCGGCCCACCCTCGTCTGACACTCGCATTATTCCCTCCTCTCTTCGCCATTCTTTTTCGCTGCTCCTCTCCTCGATCCAGTTCTATTTTTCCCATTTTCGGGACCTCGGTGCCGTAGTGGCTGAGGAGCTGCGCTACCTCCGTTCAACTGCCCTTTCGGACTTGCGATTCGTGAACGTTGCTCTTTTCCTCCCTTTCTCGGAGCCACGGCACACTGATGAGCAGCGCTTCGGATACGGCCCGTTTGGGAGCCGAGTATCCGGCCCTGGAAGGTTGCTCCGGGGCTCATTCACGCTGCTTGTTCTTTTTTTGTTTCTTTTTCTATTCTCGTCTACCTAGGTAGGTGAAGATGCGAGTTTGAATGGTGCTCGGGTCATCCGTATCGTAATGCAATCTGCTGTCTGTCTAAAATGGAACCACTCGCTTATGCAACGCCGCAAAGAACAAAGAAATCGATAGGAATTGAACCTATCCTCTCCGCACCTTGTAGTAAAAGTCGCCAATGCTGTAGAGCACTTCGTCCCAAAACTTCATGGCGCTCCAGTTCTCTCGTCTTGGGCGGTGTCGATCGCGGTTCGACAGGTCCCGGCGGTGGTAGTGCCCACACGCATGGTGGTAGACGAGCTCGCCTTCAGACATATTTTAATACGAGTAATACTGATCTGCGCGGAAGTGCGTTGCCACGGATAGCAGATGCCGGAGACTGAAACAGTCTGTGCTTTTCAACTGGAGTGATGCTGTGATGTGGTTGCTTTTGTTGTATCAATCGGGTGCTGATTGGCGTTTGACGAAAATACGTGTATTATGAGTCTGCATCGAATTGTTTTGGTGGTGATGGATGCAGGTGTTGATGTCAAGAGATGAAAACAGCAGAAACAACCATCAAGGGATGATGGGCTCACCGCTTTATTTATTATTGTTCCTTCCTGGATTCCTTCCTGACCCAAACAATACATGATCAACTCTGTACGTTTCAACCGGTACAATATGATTCTGCCTCGTGCCTTGGCGAAGTCATTTCTTGGTCATCTGCGTCGCCGGCGCCGTGACGGACAGTCACGAAGGATTCCGGCCGCCAGATCGGGTGTCCACTATGCCGATCATATGCATGTCCGAAGGCAAAATCTGTGACCTAGGAGGACTTTTATCCAACATGCGATCATTGGAGCGCTCTTGTACTCGATTGTACTGTAGAGTATTACAACTGGTAGAGGC